TCCCCCATAAATTCAAATATTTCTTCGATCCATCATGCCTAGCATTTTCTTGCCTTTGTCGAAAAGCTCATTCGACAGTGGTTTTGTGAGAATGTCCGCTGCTTGATCTTTGCGCAACCTGCTTCAGTTCAATGCTTCCATCCTTCACATGTTCTCGAATAAAATGAAATCGAACATCAATGTGCTTACTTCGTTCATGGTTGACTGGATTCTTCGCCAGTTCGATTGCAGATTTGTTGTCAACTTGAATTATTATTGCGTCTTCCTGTTTCGGTTCCATCTTGCTCAACAGTCTTCTTAGCCATATTGCATGACATACACACCAGGATGCTGTTACATACTCTGCTTCACAGGTCAAAAGAGTTACAATGAGTTGCTTCCTTGATAGTCAGGTGAAAGCAGTGTTTCCCATGAAGAATACATAACATGAAGTGCTCTTTCGATCATCAATGTCACCACACCAATCGCTATCAGAGTAACCAGTTAACTTGTATTCTTCTGCTTTCGAATAGAACATTCCAAGTGACACAATTCCTTGGACATATCGAAGGATTCTCTTCAGAGCTTTCCAATGTGCAACAACTGGTTCTTCCATGAACCGACTCACAATTCCAACACTCAGCGAAAGGTCTGACCTTGTGCATGTAAGGTATCGAAGACTTCCCACCAAGCTTCGAAATTTGTTTGCTTCGACACGCTCTCCCCCGTCAAATTTTGAAAGCTTTGCTCCTGGCTCCATTGGTGTCGAAATGGGATTGCAGCTATCCATCTTAAATCTTTTCAGGATATCTCTTGCATATTTTCTTGTGAGATGAAGATTCCTGTTTCTTCTTGTTGTACCTCCAGACCAAGAAAGTATTTCATTAGGTTTAAGTCAGTCATCTCAAATTCTTGGGTCATTGTGCCTTTGAATTCTTCGATCATCTGGTTGTTGTTGCCCAAGAAAGTTAAATCATCAACATAGAGAGCAACAAGCAATATTTTATCTTTTTTCTTCTTCACATACAAGGCATGTTCGAATGGACATTGCTGAAATCCATTTTCCTTGAAGTATGTGTCAATTCGAGTATTCCATGCTCGTGGTGTCTGCTTCAGCCCGTAAAGTGCCTTATTCAACTTTAGCACCTTTCCTTCATTTTCGATTTTCATGAATCTAGGGGGTTATTCGATGTAAAATTCTTCTTCGAGCACGCTATTCAGAAAGGCTGACTTGACATCCATCTGATGTATTTTCCATTTGTATTGAGCAACTTGAGATTTGAGTAGTCGAATTGTCTCCATTCTCACAACAGGTGCGAAGACTTCATCGTAATCGATTCCTTTTTTCTGCATGTATCCTTTCGCCATAAGTCGCGCCTTGTATCTTTCGATTTCTCCTTGTGCATTCATCTTTTTCTTAAACACCCACCTTACACCAATTGTTTGACTTCCATTTGGTAACTCTGCTAGTTCCCAAGTATCATTGCGTTCGATGGCCTTGATTTCTTCATTCATAGCATCCTTCCAATTTTTGTTTCTTATTGCTTCTTCGAAACTGACATCTTCAGTGTTTGCCAACAAACATACAAGATGCACTTATTCTGTGTTTTCATACAAGTCTTGTAAGCTTCACAACCTGGGCTGTGAGGGCCCTTCTTCATCATCAGAGTTTTCTGGTTCTGTCGAAGTGTCTTTCGATATAGCATCTGGTACTTTAACCACAACTTCAGTGGAGTTGTTCCAGTCCCACTTGCTTTCTTCATTTATTCAAACATCTCTACTTACTATCACCTTCTTATTTATTGGGTCGAAAAGTCTATAACCTTTCGTTTTCTCATCATACCCAATGAGTATGTATTTCTGACTCTTATCTTCCAGCTTTGTTCTTTTTTGATCAGGTACATGTGCATAAGCCACACTTCCAAACACTTTGAAATGAGACACAATTGGCTTTTGTCCACTCCAAGCTTCTTGAGGTGTTAAATCTCCCAGCTTCGAATATGGACATCTATTTTGAACGTAGATTGCACACTGTACAACTTCAGCCCAAAACTCCTTCGACATGTTTTTGCTCTTCAGCATTGATCGAACCATGTCAAGGACTGTTCCATTCTTCCTTTCCTCTACACCATTTTGTTGAGGTGAGTATGCTGCATTCAAAAATATTCTTATGCCTTGATCTTCACAGTACTTCATAAAGACTGTCGAAGTATACTCCCCACCTCTGTCTAATCGAAGGGCTTTGATGTGCTTGTCTGTTGCTTTTTCAACCATTGTCTTAAACTTCTTGAATACTTCGAAGGCTTCTGACTTTTCTTTCAGAAAATACACCCATGTTTTTCTTGAGAAATCATCAATGAAAGATATAAAATACTTTTTTCCACTGAAGGATTCTGGGGTAATTGGTCTACATATGTCAGTGTGAATCAATTCCAGAATTTGTTTGTCCTGATATTCTGCCTTCGATTGGAAAGAGGTTCTCGTTTGTTTGCCAAACACATAATCTTCATAGAATTTTCCTTCGAATTCCACGTCTGGCAGTCCATGCACCATATTTTTCTTTGCTAACCTCCTTAGTCCAGCTTGATGTAAATGACCAAAACGAAGATGTCACAGGGATGCTTGATCTACGATATTGGCTTGCAAACACTTTTCTCGAATGCTTCTCAAATTCAACTTGTACATTCTATTTCTCCCCATTTCGACTTGAGCAACCAGACGTCCTGACTTGTCTTTTAAGTGCAAGCTTCGATCTTCCATGAGAATCGAATAGCCCTTTTCTGTGAGTTGTCCCAGACTCAAAATATTTTCTTTGAGGTTTGGTACATAGTACACATCTTGGATAGATCCTATCAAATCATTCTTCTGCAAGAAATTGATTGTTCCTTTTTCTCCGACCCTTACTTTCGACGCATCTCCAAAGGAAACATGACCATCATCAATCTTCTTTATTTCTTTGAACAAGTGCTTATGACCACACATATGGTTGCTTGCTCCTGAGTCCAGGTACTACATAGTGTCATTTTCTGCATCTGCTTCCTTTTGAGTCATTAACAGAAATCCTTCATTCGATTCTGTTTCTAGAGCAAAGTTTGTTGTTTCTTCTACCTTTCTTCTGAGACGACAATCTTTTGCAAGATGTCCTATTTTATCACAATTGTAGCAACTGTAGGAGTTGCAATCTTTCGCATAGTGTTCCTGTTTGTTACATTTGTAGCATTCGATATTGTTGTAATTCGATCTACCACCTCTCTGGTCACGTCCTCTTCCACGCCAGTTTTGTTGACTTGACTGTCCTCTGTCGAAGTTGTTATTTTGGTAACTTCGACCACCATTACGTCCTCCACGATCATGTCCTTTCCCACGCCAATTTTGAGAAAAAAGTACCTTTTCATCTCTGTTGGATTCTGCATCCTCAAGAGCCTCCTCCTTCTTTATTTTACGTTGTTCATGTGCCTCAAGCGAACCAACCACTTCTTTGACAGTGATTGTCGAAAGGTCATTCGCTTCTTCTATTGCGCATACTATATTTTCAAACCTATCTGTTAAAGATCTCAGAATCTTTTCGACAATACGAGCATCAGACATTGCTTCTCCATTTCGATTGAGTTGATTTGCTACCGTCTGCACACGAGTGACGTAGTCTGACACAGGCTCTGTTTCCTTCATCTTCATTCTCTCCATTTCTCCTCGAAGAGTCTGTAGGCGAACTTGTTTGACTCTATTTACTCCTTTGAAAGCTTTTTCGAGCGTGTCCCACGCTTCCTTTGATGTAGTCGAATCAACAATCTTTTCGAAAACTGATTCGTCAACTGCTCTGAACAGCATGTACAATGTTGTTTTATCCTTTGCTCGCGTTTATTTCAACGCCTTGTTCTGAGCAGTTGTGATTCCCGTCGTATCTGATGGTTCTTCAAACTCATCGTTAGTTACTTCCCATACACCTAATGATCCCAGCAACGCCTTCATCTAGATACTCTAGTTCTCATAGTTCGACTTTGAAAGTCTTGACAGTGGCATCTGACCCATCATATTTGTCATGTGCTCTGATACCAATTTAAAGAAATTTAAGGAGAAATGGGAGTGGACTATAAACTTCTTCCTTTATAAATTTGTCCAACTAACTTTTACAATGAGATACAATGTGATTTATATAGAGTCACATGATAGAATATTAGGAGTTACAACAATAACTATGTCTATGTCCCTGAGGAATAAATTTCCCACTGTCCAAGAGAATCTGACTTTTGATTTACTCAAGACTGATTTGAATCTAACCAACAAAAATAATATGTGATTGTCATTGTCTACCGTTAATCAATCTACTATTGGTCCCTCAAGTATGGAGGGTACAAACTAAATATACAATATAGTCCCTTAATTATGAAGCCTTGAAGCCTATCGGGTTAGATGCTTTAGGAAAAAGTATAGAGGATACAAGTCGGAAATCTGGAATGTACAAAATTGCTTAAAAGCATCTTTCATGGAAGTAGGGGAAAATAAGGAAAGTCAGACTTTGTAAGACATTGTTGAGGGAGTATGAAACTATTTGTATTCAAGCTTTAGAGATGCTGGATTCCAAAAAGCCTAGCCTTAATTAAATCTCAAAGCTTATATTCATTTTAGTTCTCCTTGTTCTATGCAATGTGAAAGATTTCTAACTCTTCAACAACTTCCAATTTCAAAAACTTTAATATAACACCATGCAGCAATGTGAGACTTCTAGTTCTCCTTGTTCAACAAGTCTATTTGTATCCAATTTGAGATTTTTTTATGACCCTCCAACAATACTATCTAGGTTGGTTGCTGCAATTGTTTGATTCAGTGTATTACAACTTGTGTTTATGTATGTTGCTTTAGTCTCTCATTTATATATTGTTCAACATGTTTAATTTCATTAAATGCAAAAAATTTACTCAAATTTGACATTTCAGCTTGGAAATCTCACCATAGTTGTGATCTCATGGTTTATTGGCTTTTTTCATTGATCTCTATTTGCTTTTGTATTCTCTATATGGCAGAATTTGAAGCAAGAAACAACTAGTTTGATGAAGAAGATTGAGCTTCTTGAAGCTTCGAAACGGTTTGAACATCTTAAATTTCTCTTCATCTTCACAAAGGGTTAACATATATTCACACTAATAAATTTCACTCACAACAAAAGAATGTATTGCATGTGTATTGTTCATTTCTCAGGAAACTCATGGGAGAAGGATTGGGTTCATGCTCCTTGGAAGAACTACAACAGATAGAACAACAGTTGGAAAAGAGTGTAAGCACTGTTAGAGCAAGAAAGGTAATTAATCATCTTAACAAATCACTTTATTTTCTACGAAGCACATGCACTCCGAACACGACTCCAACCCATATAATAATTTGAAAAAATAAATAAATTAGACGTAATCAAAAGTGTCGTGCAGGTGCATGACACCGATATAACACAGACACACATTTTTTCAGAGACGTCTTAGTAATATTCTGAACTTAATTAAATACTTGGATTCCTATTTTATATTTTTCAGAATCAGGTTTACAAGAATCAAATTGAGCAACTTAAAGAAAAGGTATGTTGTAAAGAAAATAGGGTTTCAGAGTGTGATACAAAACCCTAATATTTTTCTGTAGTAGAGAAAGTGAAAAGTTGTTGTTTCTAGGATTATTATTATTAAACAGTGAGAATGAAAAGAAAAAGTCAGTAGTTAGTACATTAAAAAAGTGATTATTTCTGTGTTTTGAACACAATTCAGGAAAAAGCCCTACTTGCTGAAAATACCAGGCTCTCTAAGCAGGTGAAAAATAAACTACAGTTACTGTTGTCATGGGATATTTATTTTATTTTAGAAATTATTTAATTAGATTGAAAATTGAAAACCTAGTGCAGCCACCGCCACAGCCGCTGCCGCTGTCGCCGCCACCTCCGAATGATCATCAGAGAGAAAATCAAAATCAAGCGTATGCAGAAAGCAGCAGTCCAAGCTCGGATGTGGTGACTGAGTTGTTCATTGGACTACACAGGTCTAGTTGAACATAATGGTTTAATCGTCTAGTGCATGTTTGGTTTTACGATAATTCCAATGCGTCTAAGCAACAAAATTCCTCCTTTTCTATTGCATTGGAATTTATTCAACTCAAGAACAAACGTATCCTTAATACTTGCCTTATATACATGCAAGTGTAGAGTAATGGGAAAAGCACTAATGTCTCTAATGTATTTATTTGTTGAACAATGTGATGCACTGAATATATTGTCATAATTTTGTTCTTATCAAAGTGCTGAAAATATTATAGATGGTCTTAAAATATATAAAATTAAGAGCATAACTCTAAGAACTGCATGGTTTGAGGGAAGTGAAGGCATGTCTCCTCTTCTTGTAACTGTGGCTGCACCACAAGTATTTGCAAAATCAAGAGCTTCCCTCAATCTTATCTTAGGGTTGATTTGTGGGGAAGGTGTGAATATTGATTGTCTTTTTTTTCAAGTTTGTGTAATAATCGTTCGGGGTGTCTAGAAAGAATGTAGGTTATTTATAAATTTCATAATGGATTGGAGGTTTTAACTTGCCACTCTACACTTATATCCAGTAATCTCTTATTTTTTTTTGGTTATTTTGAAAATGTCCCTTAATAAATTGGATGGTTGTACAAGAACAAAATTTCCGATATAATTTAAAAAAAAATTAAAATATACCAAAATTTCAAGTAGTGTAAATTTTTTTTTTTGAAAAACAAAGTATCGGATATTTTGAAAAATCTGATATTTTTTCGAAAGTTCCGATAATTATTTTTAGAAATTAAAAAAAAAACGGTTTTTTTTTTTGAAATTTTCAATAAAACTTATTTTTTTTTGAAATTTTGTGATCGTACGCAAGAGTATAATAGTAAAAACATATAAATGAGTGGTACCGTATATAATTTGAGGGAGTGTCATGTTAAAACCTCCATAAGTTGGCTGGACTTTAGAGGTTTAGGATTTGGAAGCCCTTTTTGCTTGCAGGGCATGGAAGGTGGATGGATGTTCTCTATTATAGTGTTGTATTCGGGTAATTGATGATAGTATTGAGTTAGAATATCCCTTATACTCTCTTATCAGTATTGTATCTAGTCTAAATAATCTGAGTTTTACTGAAGATGGGACAAAATCACTCCAATATAAATAGTAATAGTGTCACCTTACAAATGTATTTATGTGTAGCCATTATACTCAAGAAAATAATCAACAAAAGAATTATTAGCACCACTTGTATCAATTGCTTCCACTTCAAAACCAAAAACCTAACCCTTATGAGCAAAAATAAAAACTCTAAAATAAAAATTATAAAATTTGATTAACTTGGGTTAACATTTTGTCACATTCACGCTGTCACAACATCCACGATCATTTGATTGAGATCAAACGATTCAAATTTAATATAGACTTGATTTTTTAAATGATAAAGGTATTGAACTTATTTACTTAAAAATATATAAAACTAGAAGCACTTAGAGAGGAAAATAAATCCTCTTGCTTCTCCATCATCTCTATAGCACGACTCTCAAGAATCTCAATTAGGTCATCCTTCTCCTTCAAGTCCACTCGGTGGGACCTCTCTAAAGTCTGATACTTATTCTTCCAAGCCTCTTTCTCCTGCTGCATCCTGACTAAGGCAAGCTGAAGCTCTTCCACATCATCTAAAATGGGAGGAGTGATCTTCACAAACATATCAGACATAGGTGCTTCACGAGAATACAAAATCTTCAATTGAATTGCCCTTGCTTGTACCCATCGGAGATAAGGTTCCAAAGAAACAACTCCTCTAATTTCCAATTCCTTTCTACTCTTCCTGTGAATATGGCGCCAAGCATTTGCAATATCCTCCTTAGAGTTCTTATGATCCTCTCTCTCTTTAAGAAAGAAACTACTCAGATGAATACTATTTAGCTTGTCTCTCATCGGATATCTAAGCTGACGTCGTGCAAGAACGAGATTGTAGTTAATTATTCCCTTTGTACCAAGAAGACGTACATTAGGGAAACTATCACAACTATTGACAATCTCTACATAAAGGTAAGCTTGATGATACCAAAGAATATCTGAATGAATGAAGGCCATAATCTCCTGAGCCCAACGAGGTTCCTTCTTGACATCCCAGAAAGCATCAGCCCGATGTAAGTGAGAAATAAACCACTGATACAACAAAGGCGTGCAACAGATGATCATCCCTCCATGATAAGAATCTCGAAGATGAATGGAGTGATAAACATCTCCTAATAATGTAGGGATTGGATTCCCTATCAAAAAGATCCTAATGGCATTGATATCCATAAAATTATCGATGTTTAGAAATAAGAACAACCCATAAGCAAGCAGAGCAAAGATAGCTTCAAAAGAAACTGTACTCTTCATCCTAGCAAAGTAGTGAGCTTTCTCCAATAAAAACTGAGCGGGTAAGCCTCTAATTCCTCCTTTGGTAGTCATGTGGGCCTCAATCCCAGACTTCCCCAAATGAACGAAAGCAGCAATCTCATGAGACTTTAGCTCCCCCTCTAAATCGATGAAAGGAACACGACCGACAATAGATAAACCCAGTAGATAAGAATACTCCTCTAATGTAGGAATCAACTGATAATCATGGAAAGTGAAACATCGATACATCGGATCATAGAATTAGACCAAAGTTGAGAGAATCCTCTCCTTCATCCTGAGCTTAATGAGAGACACAATGGATCCATACTTCTTCCGAAAATATGTAGAACTCTCAATCTCAGGAATCAGATTCATCAAATCATCTATCTTAGGATTCTTGAAACTGTACTTCTGAGTCTTTCTTTTTCTAGAATCCATGGTTAAAAGTACCTAAGATATTTGCAAAAAGTCAACTTAAAGTCCCTTGAACCAATTTTTTTTAAAAGATGCACATGGGTGCATGAATGCATGATGTAACAATCACACACAAGATCACAACATGGGGGATTCATAGGTTTGACATCACGAGCATGAAGTCAAAGGTACTACCCACAAGGTATGGTCTAATAGTTTAACACCAGCCGAACAAGGTTCTAAGAGGTTCCCAGAGTCTACATCATTCCTTCGGATATTAGCTACAACCCAATTGACTTGATAATTAGTAATATTCTCAGAAAAAACTCGTCTGAGTGTAGTATCGCGTGATAACCATTTCCGGATTACTCCTTCATAGTTTCCTCACTACACCTAAAAGGCAAAGATGGGTTAAAGGTTCTACGGTCCTCAGTTTCAGCATGCTTCCAGGTCGAAAGCAGCACGTCTTCCCGATTACTCGGTAAACGACACTACAGTTAAAGGGGCCTCCACTGAGTGAGGGATCTCATGCCTCCTTTTTTGGGATTACTCCCTCAAAGTTAACATGACTATACTGTCCGTCCTATCTTAAGTTTGCCCAAGTCCGAGTATAGGACTTATGAGAAATCACCAAGCATCCTGAAAACCAAGAAAATCCAGACAAACATATATACAACATATAACATATAAACAACAATAGCACATGCATAAATAAGCAAAGATAAGCTCAACCAACTTAGGGATGAAATAGCATTTGGTAAATCTATCCCCGGTGAAGCCTCCATTTTTTTGTAACGGTAGAAATGTTGAGACAAAACCATTGGATTGACTTGACACGCACAAATAAAATAAAAATCTCCACCGCGTTTTATTATTTCCAAAGGAATGGGAAAAGAGCGAATAACCTAAAAAGAGGGGGAGAGAATCTAAGTTTGGGGGTTGGTTATGCAAAGGGAATGTATTAGCACCCTAAACACCTACGGTACTCCACAAGAACCTCTTTTAAAATTTGTGTATTTTGGCTATAGAAGTTATATAAAAATAGATGGTGGAGATGGAAGAGAAATAATTTTTTACAATTTTTTCACCCGTCGCGGTTGCGAACCTTTAGTGCCTACATACCACCTTCTGTTTAATAGGAGATCAGGACACTCGTAGTTCACCTTTAAAAATTTAAAAAAAAATCACAAATGTGTTGGTTAATTTTAAGAGATAAGACCTCATCGTCGTATCTGAGTGCAAAACATACTTACTACCCACGATAATGAGAAAGGAGAATTTGCATCATATCAAAGTGGAGGATATGGCTTGGATTTTTAATCAACAAATTCTCGCTCAACACCCAAGTGGAAAACATCTCGCTTCACTATATATCATAGAAGTATAGTAGCTCACATCACTACAAGAATTGACAAGAGTTTAATCTTTTGAAAAAAGTTTTAAAACAAAAGCCAAAATGGCAAAATAGTTTGAATGAGATTGATGGAATTTTAGTCTTCTTACAAAAATATTAAAGTATTGTTAAGTTTTTTAAAATTTGATTAAAGAAAATATTTTGAAAATGCATGGACCTAAGTTCAAGTTTATTGTGAAAGTAGTTCAAGTTAGAAAACAAGAAGAATTTTGAAAAGGAGGGAGAAGATTTTTGAAATTAAAAAAGGTGGGAGGAGATGAAGGGACTATCCTAAAGCATAAGGTAAAACTAGGGAAAAGAGCCGTCTAACCAACAAGAAGCCAACACTTGACACAATGAGTCAATGTAGAATTCTCATCCTATGGATTGAAACCAAACAAGCAGAGATAATAAACCTCTTAAGAAAACCAAGCTTCAAATGCATCATGTCTTCACAAAAACTGGGCAGAGTAATGGTTGTATACAGATGAATTCCCAATCATAGACAAAGCACATAGTCGAAATAACCTACACACAAAGAAAACAAAATAACTCAATATCTTGGGCTGAACCCCAAGAAATGCAGACAAAATGACAGTAGAAGTCACAAGGTCTCAAGGTAGGTCAAGGTCTCTAATCCTAAGTCCAAGAAGTCTATAACTCTAAAATGCCAAGGATAGTAACCAAATAGTCCAAGTAACATTAAAGTTTTTTATTGTTTAAGTTGATTATTAGGTATCTTAAAAAAGAAAATGAAAAGTTTAAGTGAGAAAAATAAAAAGGACATAAAGATAAATGCTCAAGTGAGCAAAGATGAAAATAACATGAAATAAAAATGCTAAAATAAGTGTGCTTAAAGTAAAAAGCATAAAGTAAAAGCATAAAATAAAGTCAATTAGAAGATTGATAAAATCAAAGCCTCTCAACAACATGTTTCATTTTCTTTTTTTCAATTATATCATTTGTTTCAAAATTTCAAGGCAACAATAAAATGATCAACGATGTTTAAATGATTCACTTAGTTCCAAAATTTATGAAGATTCATTAGAGGATTGATAAGACCA